TGTGTTTTCATGAATTCCGCTTGATTAGCACACCACAGTACATTAAAAATAAGCACGATACAAATTGTAAGAGTGAAAGTGTGATGGGAGGATATATGAAATGTGAATAGGCCAAGACAGAAGAGGGAAGATTCCACAACTGTTTAGCACACGTTTGGTCAAAGGATCGGCTTCACTTGTCTCTTTGACGAGTTGTTGTGTGGTCCTACGAATGGCGATAGTTACTGACGATGCCGGTGAAACGTCTGAGAAAGTACCACGTGCACGGTTCAACTTTGGAAATGATGATGCATACAATGGACTCCGGACAAGGTGTCTTCCTCTAAGTATTCCTACCAACATGACCGAGTTGCGAAAACCAGGTCAAACAACTTCTAAACACACGTTTGCCTGAAAAGTGTGATTTCGCTTTGGCCTAGCCTCGTGGAACTTGTCTGGTGTTGGAGAGGGCCAGGGCGGAAGAGGATTAGCCAAGCATGGGGTATCAGTTTCTTCACAATGACCCAGTTGCGCCCTTTTTTGCTTGGAATGTCTGCGACTGGCCGAGAGAACTCTGTCGCAAAGCCTTGAAATTTGAGCTGCATAAGCCGGTCCTAATCGGGCTCGGTGAGCTCGACTGCTCTTCTGTTCGTCGCGCTTTTGTCATGTCGAACACGTCGAGTTGCAGTGACCGGCCAGTCGAACTGGCTCGGGGATTGGCAAGCCGTGCCTCCGAGTCACGACGTTGATGGCGTTCCGGCAGATCGTCGAATGTCCGAATCGGTACGACTTCATTTTTCGTCTCGAAAACAACACACCACTTCACCATCCCTCCTTCAGATGGTCAACTCGCCGGGTTTGATGAAAGCATACGAAGAAAAGTTGGGTTTCGAGAAATCTATTGTTCCATAATTGTTCAGCCTACTTCCATTTCGAGTGGAAGTGTTGCGTGAAGAGATTCAAAGGTCGATTCCACCACCAGAAGACGACGGCCGATTCCTCTTGACCAGCTGTCGATTGGCTTTGCTGCAAGATTCCTGCTGACGCTGTTTCCGAGGCAATCTCTTTCGATTCCGGTGAAAAGGTGCTAAGCTTTTGTCCTTCAAAAGACGGACATCATCATAGCAAGGTATCATCGTCACAACCAAATTAAAGCTGAGTCAAGAAAACTCGTATGAAAGTAGGGTTTCGAGACTACCAGTAAATCAC